AAAAAAAAAAAAAAAAAAAAAAAAAAAAAAGAAAGAAAATCATCGCAAACCTAACGAGATTCTTTCTTGAGATTCTCGACTCGAGTTGTTCTCCCGCGAGAAGAGAAGAGCGCAGAGAAGAATAAATAAATCACGAGTAAATAATTGAGGCCGACATCGCTTCCGCCCAACGCAACACGGTGAAATATTAATTACGAATCCAATATCAATTACGAAATATAACATCCTAACCTCTTAACACTCGACACTACCGCTTGTGACTCGTCTTGCTCTTAGGGCTTTCCGTGGCGCTGTCGTTAGGCTCCCTTCTAGGTCGTAGAATGAAGTTCAGATTGTGTGCGGTATTTACGGCGTAATAAACGTTCGCCGAATTTGGCAAAAGCATTTCACGATCGGGTAAAACCTGGGCAAGGGTGTACTGGTCCGGGCTCCCCTCTATCCCCAACTTAAGCATAGCGTTACGTATCACTTGCGGCGTCCTCTCGTTATTCGAGAGCATGATGGATTTGTACAGCACCACACCCTCGGTCTCCACGTTATCGCTCTCCATCGTCACTTTTATTATGTAAAAATCCGGCGAACTCTTGTGCGAATGACTCGGGCTGGACAGGCCAACGACATTAGGGCTGTTCCCGTTGGCTGTGATGGCAGTCGGGGGTGCTAATCGGTTCTGTTGATTCGTCGCTCCGCTTCCCCCGCCGGAGCTCAACGACACGTCCAACGATGGCAAGGACGAGCTGGACGAAGAGCTGGACATCTGGGATGGCGACGTGCGCCGATCGAGAGAGTTGTGGGGCGAGCTCGGCAAGGAATCCAGATCGCAATAAAACTGGGAGCTACTCGAGCTCGACGTGGAGGCTATCGAGTCGTTTTTACGATGACCCTGATGACTCTGCAAGATAAGTCTGGGCTCAGTCCTCTCGCGGGAAACGGGTGATCGGGAACGTGTTCGTATAAACGAGATGAGGGAGAGCATGCTGACCTGCTTCTTCTTGCCACGATTGCTCAAAGTGTTTCCGGGTGGTGGCGGCTCGATCTGACAACTCAGTTTATACGCTTCTCGATCATCGAGCACAACCACGGAGTGGAACCAACGATCGAACAACGGATCCGTGCTGAAATTGTACGCATTCGCGGCACCCTGAAGCAATCTTATCCTAGCGAGGACCTCGAATTCTTTCCGCCTTTTATCGAAGTTGATTAGACCCTCCGCTATCGTGTCAGGTATCGCGGTGTCTATCATGGTGAGATCCGTCAAGAACGTGCCTAGATACGGTATCGTCCCATAACTGATATTCTACGAGAGAACAGAAGAAAACGATTCCAATTAATTTTCGGCGTAAAAAATATTGGGCGTAACGTCGAGCGTACGCTTAATGAAATTGAAAATTAACACTTACGCCCGCGTGAGTATTTTGCTTTTGAAACAACTTTTGCAGGTGTCTGTCGCTCCTGCCCGCCGTGTCCGCGAACTTGGCAGTGCCCTCTTTGATTAAAAGCTCTCGTTGGGTCCACGCGTTGTTCTCCTCCGAGAAAATTCTCTCCAACTCTCTGAACAGCTCGTGCTTCTCCCTGGGCATACACTGCCAACACTTCTCCAACCTGTAGACAGGGTTGCTCTGAAGACCGGACACGATAGCCTTCAGGCTACTGAAATTCTTCAACACCCGCAACTCTTGAGCAATGTCGATCCACGTCTCGAGGATCCTCGCGCGTTCTTGAGGCTTGGTCGACGAGTCCATCAGTATGGTGGATATGACCCGAAGGGAAACGGCGTTGAATTGATTCACGGTCGCCAATACGGTGGCCGCGTCATGGCTCCTCGAACGATCCCTTCTCGACCAGACGGCGCCCAAACATTGGTGGGCCACGAGCTTCTTGAACACTTCGGCGTCCATTCTGGTCAACTGCTCGGCGAAATGTCGGTGCGGAACCTCGGGGAAATTGTAGCTCGCCCAATGATCCACGATTGGATCCGGGGAACCACGGGTTAATCGACCATTGTCGTACACTATGCACGAATCTGAAAAAAAGAAAGGAACAAGTGTAAATACTGTTCCGAATAAAAGTAGAATAAATATATGCACGTCTCATCTTAGAATCGATGAATCAGAGCCCAGTGATAAGTTGCAAACGCAATAAACATCTGGTTTAATAAACATTTGATATAACATTTTACAGAATCGACGTTTGAAACGAGGCAAGAAAATTTTATTCTTTATATATAAGAATAAATAATAAGAATAATAATAATAAGAATAAATATATAAGAATAAATAATAAGAATAAGAATATTTATTAAGAAATAATTTTACTTTAATAATTTTATAAAGTGGGATTTTATAAAAAAATCTTCCCAATAATTTTTCGCTCACCTATTTGATCTTCACGCTGAAACCTGTGCAAACGATGCCTTGCCTTGAGCTCGAGTTCCGAGCCAGGAAGTCGTCGATGCGTGAAGTCGAGGACTCGGCTGAGCAAGGGGTGGTTCGGAGGCGACTTCCAGTCGCCAGGATAGGCGTCCAACCAGACGTGAAGAGCCTGAACCAGAGTCTTTCGATGTTGTTCGCCTGTCAGCGCACCGGATCCTTCATCGAGGGCATCGTACCTCGACAACAATAGCTCCAGCACTTCCCGCGGCGTGGTGAATGCTCGATACGTCGCCAAGAAGACATTGATATACGTCGACTCGAGTTCCCCGTCGTCGTTCGCCAGACTTTCCACCAGCCGCTGCACCGTGCCGGCTTTCAGGAAACGCACCCTCACCGTCTCCCATTCCAAATGCGAGATCTCGTCGTCCGAATCCTTAATTAAAAAAAATTGAAGAAGAAACTTTGAAGAAGTAGTTTTAAAAATTTGGAAAATTTCGAAATGTCAATAACTTGGAGAAAAATGGAAAATTCGAAAATCGAATGGTTTCAATTCTCACCGATGCGGAGAGGCTCCTGGTCGGCCTGTGATATCGGACCTTCTTCAGGTACACCGTGTATATGACGCCATCGCCCCTTTCCTCGCCCCATAAACGCCACGTGGGCTGCGAAGTAAAAGGAAATGGCAAAAGATTAAGGCGAGGAAACGATTCTTATATCCGGGGAGGGGGGGGGGGGGGAGAGATTATCGGCGGCGGCGACGATAACAGAGCGAGGCGGGGAAAAACGGAGGGGAGGGTGGGGGGATGATTTACGTTACTAATTTCAAGAGCCACCACCCCCTGTCATGCGCAACCATCTCTCTAATGAGGACAAGCCAATCAATGGACGTCGTGCACTCGGCAGATTTATTGAAATAATTGACTTCCACCTCGAAATTGACCTCGGCCGTCCATTTCACGGCTTGAATCGCGATTAACCGGATGAAACCGTTTTATCCTCGCGATCTCATTCTTTCTCTCTTCTCGTTGTTTCAAATTGCAAAAGCTAATCATCCGGATGATAATCTCGGCTCGTTTTTTAACAAGAATTTATGAGAACGATTCGCTTACACAAGGTTAACCGGTTAACAAAATGAAAGGATTAAACGTTGAAATGCATTTTGAAGCGAAATTATGCGATTCTTTCTTTAAAAAAAAAAAAAAAAAAAAAAAATTGGTGATTGCAAATGGAAGTTAATTGAAATCGTTAGATCCAAATTAAGGCGTCGATAAATTATTTAAATAATCGTTCGACATCGTCCGATGAATTTTTTTTTTTTTTTTTTTTTTTATTCTGAATTTCTTACTCCAGATGCAGCGACGTACGATGCAGGATGCTTGGAGACGCTACGTACGCGATTAAGAAAATTCCTCGAGTTCGAAAATTTCAATCTACATGCAATACTTTCCATAAACATTTAACTGGTATATTACGATTAACGATTTGGTTACGGAGCGAAGAATAATTCGACTGCATGAGGTCGCTTGATGTATCTCAAAACAAAGCATGCACAAATCCATCCGTTAAAACGAAGCTGACCATTCTCATTATTCTAAACTACGAGAAAAAAATATATATATATATACGTATATATTAAGGATACGGATCGACAAACACAAAGGAATACAAACAATATAAAATAAAGTTCGCAAAAGAAGGACGAATCAAAAATATAATTTAAGGTTACACACAAAATATATGCTTGGTAATCGGTAGCAGACAAATTTCCTATATTCATAGCGCATCACTTCACAAAATGGATATTGTGCCAACTTCAATACAAAGTTGAAAAGTATGCTCGTCGTGAAGAAAAATAATCCTCCTGCAAATATCGCTATTACCTGTTGATAAATTATAATAAAATCTAACGACCTGTTGCAAGTTTCAATTCTCTTTAACACCACTTGATAAACTCAATTTCGTTAACTAAATTTGAGAAAAAAGAAACTTAAACTTAAAAAGAAATTAACTCAAGTTTGATCGATCCAAACATCGCCCCACCAACTTACAATTAACATTTTTCTTGTCGGCAACGCGCGGTATCGTTTATATCATAATTATGCCCCGCAAAAAAAAAAAAAAAAAAAAAAAAAAAAAAAAAAAAAAAAAAAACGGCATTCGTCCCAAGATCCACCCCTCCCTCGTTGCACAAAACGCGTTTAATCCCGAGGAATTGAGCAACACCCTTCCACGCCACGTTCACTTCGTTCCCCGGGTAGATCTTTCGCCTATTTTCAGCCCGGCTATTCGAAATCTCGAGGGGTGGACGTAATTACAAGCGGCCATAAACGGCCGGCTCCGCTCCGTCTGCTTTTTAACTGTGCAGGCTGGAAAACCAGCCGGAACCCTCCTCCTCTTCGTTTCCTCCTCGCGGAGACGCGAGCGAACAAAAGGAGGGGGAGCAAGAGGGGGATTAAACGGAGCAGCCTTGGTGCAAACGCGAATAGATTTCACGACAAATAAACACGCCAGCCTCCGCGCCTCGCTTCCGGGGGGAGGGGAGGGCCATCGCGGAACGGTAAACACGGAACGATGGAGAGAGAGAGAGAGAGAGAGAGAGAGATCCTTATCNAGAGAGAGAGAGAGAGAGAGAGAGAGAGAGAGAGATCCTTATCCTGGCAAGGTGTTTTAGCCAATAGTACATATATAAAATGTAAAAATCTCGATTTTAGAGATCTTAATTGGCGTTTAGAAAAACTTTAATTACGCTTCCTGGTTGTGCAATATATTTCCCTCTATTATTAATGAATGTAATGTACGAATGTATATTAATATTTCATGAAGTTGTTCTCTTCTGTTTCTTTTTTTTTTTTTTTTTAATTTTAATTTTAGTTTTTACGATTCGATGTTTGATGATTATTATTTATTAGTCGTTAAGATTAAATCATTGCGAAGGAATGATTACGAATGGTGAGGTTTTAATTGTGAGATTAAATTCAGCGAGTGAATTCAAGAGGATTGTACCGATGAGAATATATTTAAGAATAAAAACTCTCGATAATTTGCTCTCACGATTATTTTTCGCCAATCGACAATTATTACAGTTGTTCACTTTCAACTCTCTCTATTCGCGATAATTATTCGCGGTAACGTTTATTGTGAAAATATATTTGCATACTATCCTCTCACGTCCTCTTAACAGAGACACCGATTTATAGTACATAAATATACAACCATAATTCCAAAGAAAAGAAAATATGGAAAAATTTAAAAAAGAAAAAATTTCTCGAAATTTTCGAAGCTAAGGTTAGGCTAATTTCTAATCTCTCCCGGCCGAAACGCGAGACCAAAGGTCTTGGAGCCAATTACATCCTCGGCCGCGTCTCCCCAAGGGAATATATTGTGGGACCCTCAAAGGAACCACTAAAAATAGTATTCTCGGTTGAACACGCCCGGAGTCACATCGGTTTGCTGTTTTATTTGCAACGCTAAAAACGTCACCAAAGTTATCCGGTCCAAGATAACTTACCTGCAGGCCAACAAGAGAATCGTAATATCGCGTCCTCGGGAGGAACATACCGGGGAACCCGGGTGCGCACAAGATCTCCTCCCTATCTCTCTTGTATCTACCGCGCGCCTTCCATCTTGGAAGGTGACCGTGCAACAGAATCGTGGGCCAAAAGGAACGAAAAATCGCGTCGTTGCCATTCCACCCCTTTCTTTAATATGCAACGTTTAACCGAGACGCGGGCCCGGTTATATGCACACAATAGAAGAAGCAGCCAGATTCGATGGAACCGAGAATGGAAAGCGTTCCTCCATGAAAAATGAAAGTAGCGTTCCATTACGTACGTGTATCTATTGATTGTTAATCGTAAACACGCGGAAGTTCGAGTTTCCAGTAGTCGAAGAAGGAACGAGATATTGGAATAGAAAAGAAAATTCACGCGAAGATTGTTATTATCAACTGAATTAATAAGGTAAGGAGGAGAGAGAGATTGAAATATCTCGAAATCGATGAAAAAAAAAAAAAAAAGAGTGTTGGGCGTGGATATTATTTTTCATACACGCGTGTAATGAAATATTCATTCACCAGTTGGTGAAAGAAATAAATAAATGGTCGAACACTCGATTCTTCTTTCTTTTCTTTTCTTTTCTTTTTCTTTTTCGCCCGAAAAAATCTCGGCAAAAATATTTTTCTCCAAGGGGGACAAGAATCCAGTTAGATAATAAAACGGGAACGGCTGGTTTCTCTGGTTTATACCGGGAAGAGACAGATGGCGAGAAAGGAGAACCGGCCAAGGCGATTCCGAAGAAAACTGGCTACGTTTCTCGATGATGACGAGTCTAGCCAGAGAAGTAAAACTCCCGTGGAAAAAGGCGGCTTATGCTCCGGAACGAAGCGGCAATTAGAGGCCTACAGGGAGAACCCGAGCGTGACTTAAGGTCCTTATGCCCCCTTGTCCTTGGAGACGGCTCCTCGGAACACGTCAACTCCAACCATTGTTCAAACGTGAATTCTGTCCGAGTAGAAATCTCGTTGCTTCCAATTCGAGAACCGATTGTTAAAGTATCGTGAAAAATATATTCGAACTCGTCATCCCTTCAAAGTTGTCCATCTTCTTGTAAATTTAACTTCCTAATTTTAAAAAGGAAAGTTTTGCGTGTCAAGGATCGTCGAGGATTCGAAGACATCGATATCATAATTTTATATCGTATTATCAATGTAATATATTTACATTGACGAAATATATTCGTTTGCGACAAATATAAAGAAAAATATTTAAATATAGGAAATATCTTTGAAATTTTTTTAAAGTTAATTTTAAACGATTAATCCTTTAACATCCGGTATATACTGTCTACATCAATTGAATATCAGGAATTCGAAAACTCGATTTTAAGATTGAAGGATCGAAGAAAAAATCTTCTCCACTCGAATCTCTAATCAAACGAACCTTGAGAAATCTACGATCCCCTCCCCATCAACGTCCCAATTGAACGACCTTCCCGGTTCATTCAACTCCTCCCCTCACCGAGATTTCCTCCATCGCGATTTCCAATCGTCTCCCATCCTCGTCAAATGACAAAGTGAACTATTATACGGCTAAAGACGAAAGCAAAAGCGACGTGTGTACAAACTGCTATCCCTATTATTCCACGTCGTTCTATAAAAAGCTTAACTATTGGATTACCACGGGGAGAGGAAGAGAAAAGAGTTGGATACGATCGATACATGGAAATCCACCCCCAACTATCGCGATACCTTCTTCCCTCCTCGTAAACATCGACGTTGGAATCACGATTCCAGAGAAATCGTTGGAATATTCCAACCAGCCAGGGTCGCCACGCTGCTTTGTCATCGATCTGTCAAATTAGATTCCGCGAAACTACGCGTTGACATTGTCGTTTCGCATAAAAATTAGAATTCTCGATCATTAAAAAGAATGAACGTTGCCTTCGATCGTTTCTTCATCGGAAATCAAATCGTTGTTTGTTCAGACAATTAACCCTTTCCATTAATATCAATCGTATCGCCAAGATATATCTGAACCTGAACTACAACTTTTATTTACATTAAATATGAAAAAATATATCTCACAATTATTACAACGCTTCAAATTGCTTGGCGCGCAAATTTTTATCAGGTAAATTCTACGAGCGATCCACAATTTTTCTAAAT